ACGAGTGAACCTGTAGCCTGCGCTACGAGCGCCCGCGCAAAACTGTTGTGATAGCGCCGGCGCCTGTGGCGCGGGCGCCAAGCGTTTTCGCTCTAAACCGGTATGATATTCGTGTTCTACGGGTCAAATTACCCCTGAAGGCAAGTTTCTAGCAAAATCCACAGTCATGGACGAATTTCGATCAAAATCCGGCTCAGTTCTTGAGGAGTGGGGCAGTAAAGGGTAAATAGTGCCGAATATGATAGGAAAGCTGCGCAGGAAGAGAAAGAGCCAGATGTGCTATCGTATCTTCAAGTCGGGTAGTGCCACTTTTATAATAGCTTGCCCTCGTTGTAGCGCGCGCTTCACATTCGTAAATGCGTATAATTATTTTCTTAAAGCTTGAGTTTTATTCCGTTCTGTCCATGGCCTGCTGTCCCAGACGAGTTCTGAATGCATGATATCAAGGGGTTTGAGCTCATACAACTTACAGTCTATTAGTCGCGCTTGGTTGATGCTGCTTGTGTTCAACAGGAAAAATTCATGAGTACGGATGAACGCGGGCATTTCGGGCATGGTCTTAAATATTCATATTTTTGAGCACATGGCTCCATCAGAAGTACAACATTGTCATCACTTCCACTACTACCACCGTTAACGCTCGCAGAAAGACAGGATAAACGAGAGCTATAGAGCTCACATCTGTCCAATTCTCTTAAGAACCACCTTTTCAATCCCTGGTTGTGTAAAAACAACGTCTTTCAAAGGTGCGTGAAGGTTGATAAGCTGGATAGTGCAGCATTCACTCACCATCCACTCTTCTACCCTTCAGGGTACTTTGGCTAGAGGCCGCTAAAAATTGACACCAACTTAGAACTCAGAACCTTCCAGTGAGTTTGTACGCCCGAAACCTTCCAGCGAGTTTGTATACCCTTCGAATCTTGGCATAGAGCTTGTCTGGACTTCAGCACTCAGAAAGAGTTTTTTTTTGAAGAATTCTGAGGGAGAGCGCTTGTATGCCTTGATTCATTCTGAGTTTTACCTGGTTTCTCCGACGTGGTTCGCACTGGGAACGTTTACAGAAAATGAATAACAGTGTAAATAAGCAAGGAAACAAAAGCCAATAATTGGTAAATAATTACGAATAAAGTAGAAATATTGTTGTTAAGAGATACCACTCAAACAAAGGCAACCTAGGATTCCCTGTTTACCTATGGAAATACGTAATCATTGCAGATCTCGTACCGGACAAGTTCTCGCTAACCTTCTCCATGAAACACGCTCGTGGAACGAAAGACGATCAGAAGAACAAGAAGAACATTCTGTGCGAATCAGATGAAGAAGGTAATTGATTGATAAGATGGTTGATAACACATGATATTTGATGACTCATAAAGAACAGGTAGTGAGAAATTTATGAGTCACTCACGACCTGTTTCTTGTTTCTCAGTTGACGTCCCTCGCATATTCCCATCGGAACTGCGGGAACTGCTTCGTGGTAATGAGCTGGAGCATTACACAGCAGCGAGTAAGTTACCTAGGTCTTCGGGAGATATCGATATAGTGCCCAACAGACCGTTCTGATGTAGGTAGCTGAGATGACGCGGGACAACCGACGCTCCAAACGGTATTGCCCATTAGCAGTATGTACCATTGGTCTCAGTGAAGGCGCTGGCGTGCGCGGTGACAGAGATTGGCCCCGCAATTGGGATCTCCTGACATATCCCATGACCTCGAAACATAACGGTGCAGATGATACGCTAAGCTGAAGCTAAAGTATCGAAATATGAGATGTAAAGGAGTTATTTGAGTGTTCGATTTGACAAGTTTTTCTCCGTTGCACAGTAACCCAGATCCAGTAATCCATGTTATAGTAAGTTATCCATGTTAATCAGTACATTCGGTAAGAAGCACTGCATATAAAGCAGGCTATCCTACTCCCTCATGTAGCCCCATCTCCTCTCTTTTTTGGGCTTCTTTCCAAGTGTAGTGGTTGCATCGTAAGGATGGTTCTCGAGTGTTGGAAAAAAAGACGATTCTAGAGCATATGACCAATTTTGGCTTTGATGTATCCCATGAAAGACCTCCCACGTTTCTCTTCGATTTTCTTCTTTTCTGAGTTTTCTTCTCTCACGTTTTTCAGGCTCTGATGCTCATAACCTCTCATCACTCCTCGTAATGCTCGCGGATTCTTTGAGATTCCTCAAAACGACTTCAACTTATGTATAATTGCTAGATTCTCCGAACAGATTCCTGCACGAGAAGTATAAATGTACATGGATTTCTGATCATGGGGTACTGCGGGAAAACGATAGTTCACGTCATGTTACTCAGAAATCCGTAACAGTTGCAGTTGTTCTCTAACCAGGAAGGTCCTTCAGGGCGTGGCCAGGCTTGTTCGAAAGCGGTCTTCTTGCATGATGTAGGGCAAACAGCGGAACACAGCAGAACCATAAGGTTTTTCATTTTTTCCCATTTTACGCAATAATAGATTAGCATGAATAATTAGACCATATCATGAAGGGCCTTTATGGTATACGAGGCCGTCACTAACTCCTACAAAAAGACAGACGACTAAAAATTGGTGTAAGAGGTGTGACACCAAGCAGCCCCACTGTGGTGTCACACCTTTTTCACCAGTTTTTTAATCAAAGTCTATTTGTAAGGGTTACTGACGGTCCTAATCATGAATATGGTACTAATTATTCATGCTAACTCCATTTTGGGCGGAAGTGGTGTAGTGACAAGTGGCGCGCTCACCACGCGAGCGGTCCGGGATCAAATCCTGGGTCGTGAGTCGCCCGGGCCAACCAAGCCTTCCATCCCTCCGGGGTCGGTTAATTGGTACCAGACTTGTCTGGGAGGATAAAAAAAACACTGACTTGAACATCGGCTGGCCCCCGCAAGTCATTGTATAGGCCACATCGCATTCAAACACC